TACTGAGCTATCTCCCTGGCCCCTCTTATTATTATTTTAATAAGTAAAAAAAATTCAATAAAAATACAGAATTTCAAAACAAGATGATAGGAAATTTATGTATTTATTTTTTTGCAGAACTGAGGATTGAACTCAGGCCCTTGCACTTGCCAGGGAAGCACTTATTACATTGAGCTGTCTCCTCAGCCCCAGGAAATTTAATGATGGTATCATGTTGCATATTATGCAAAATTGTTCAAGCAGCATAAGCGCTAAGAAGTTATTCCTCTCAATGAATTAATAGAAATCAGTAGTACAATTATTTTTTCAATTAAAAACAGAAAAATTAAGAGATCTCAGTTCTTTTGCTTGAGTTACATTTGAAGTATCATAATTTCTTATTAAGGAAAGCATGCATTTATATTCCTAAAAGACAATAAAGAATGTATAAGAAAACCATATGTGGCATACCTAAAATTTTATTCCAAATGCAATTGATCAAATAGAATGACACATTGTTTAAAAAAGCATACAATGTGTCATAAAGGAGCTGTGTAACAGGTTCTTATTTTTAGCCATATTAATAGTTTACTGGGGCTGGCAAAATAGCTCAGTGGTCTAAAGCACCTGCTTAGGCTAGCTTAGGCAATCCACAGGGACTGTGGTTTGATTCCTGGTACCACATGCTGCACCAGTCTTGCCCCCAGGGTGGGCTGACCTGGCCACAAAAACAAAACAAAACAAAAAAACAAAAAAAGAAAAAAAAAGTTTAGTGATTAGAATTAAGGTATAGTTTGCTCATTGACATTTTTCCCCCCTGTATGTAGGACAGGGTCTACAGGGTCTACAAAGTCTTACTATGTAGATAGGACTCATAGTGATTCTCCTGTTTTCAGCCTCCCAGGTGCTGGGATTACGGGTGCGTGCCACCATGCCCAGTTTCAATCAACACCTCAGCACACCCTGGGGGTGGAGCTGGCATGGCAAGGAGGGATCAAACCTCAGTTGCTACACTCTGCCTAAGCAGCCACTTTAGTCCACTGAGCTATCTGGCTGGCCCTTCATTAACATCCTTTTTTTTTTTTGTTGTTGTTGTTTTTGGTGGAACTGGGGATTGAACTCAGGCCCTTGTGCTTGCCAGGCAAGCGCTTCTTCTACTGAGCCATCTCCCTGGCCCTAACTGACATCTTAATATAGCTAACATGTACATTTTACTGTGCCAGATGTATTTTAGCCATGTTGAAATCTGAGTGCTCCTGATTATTGTCTGCAACAGGCACACTTTGGGAGGAAGCAGATCAGGCCCACAAATGCAGGCCAAGTGCAATTTTTTTTTTTTTTCTTTTAGAAGGTTTTGTTTTGTTTTGTTTTGTTTTGTTTTTTTCTCCGAATGCCTTCAGGGCATGATTGGCTGGGTTGAGTTGTAGGGATTGAACCACAGCAACCTGAGCCTGACTGCTTTGTTGAAGCAGCCACTTAAAGAGCTGAGCTAAGGGGCAGGCCCCCTGGTGCAATTTTACGAGGTTAAGTAATCATCAAATTGACTCAGAAAACAATATATGAGAACTATTTGTAATATTCCTTAATAGAATGCTATTTAGATAGGAGCAAAGATTCACTTCACTTTCAAAATCATGAGCTAAGTTTTGTGAAAAAGGCAAACTTGCCTGGGATAAGGCTCTGTGTCTTGCCCTACTGTATGTCAGGATAGACGTTATGAAGGTGAGCCTTCTTTTGTAGCTAATGAAATGCCTTCCTTGTGCCCACAGCTTTCTTCAGCACATCTAGCCGACCGCTGGTGTGCTGGAGTGAGGGGGTCACTGATGGGATTCTGACATCCATGTATGGATCTCTTCAAGCTCCTGCAAATGGTCTTCCAGGTGCTGAGCTAACTTCCGCAGCTCTTCAGCGTACTCTGATTTTGCCCCCTCTTGCAACTTCTTTGCATTATGTGCAAGATCGATCACATCTAGCACAAAGAACACAATATTGGCGACTTTCATGAGGACCCGTGCAATGTTCATTATCCGAACTGAATGATTTAAGACTGTTGTCACAGGCACATCACTATTAAAACAGATATTTTGAATCATCATGTTGTATTGGGCACTAACTATTACGTCACGGTCACCATTAGCCTCCTTGATGGTCCTTATGGCCTTCCCAATTTCTGTCAAGTATTGATTCCAATTTTCAGTTGAGGAGATGACTTTGGGTGGGAAGTAACCTACTTCCTTTGTGAACTTCTGCAGTTTGTCCATGATGTTTGATACTAACTCTTTGGCTTCACTTTCAGTTGAAGATACGTGTGAGTAATCCACTATGCTAGTCGCACCACTGGCCACAGAACTCCCTACTGCCAGTGCTGCCCCTGCCCCTGCAAGGAACCCACTAAAACCTAGTGTGAAGGGTGCCAGAAGCAAACCAAGGATGCCCAGGCCTGCAGAGGCAGCTGTGGTGGATCCAGTCACAACACGGGAGACAGTACAGTCCCAGTGCACCTTGTCCAGCTGGTCTGCAAGTTCACGGAGCTTTCCTATGTCTTTTCCAACCTCCGCTTTCAGTTTTGGAAATTCAGCCAAAAACCTCTCCTTAGCCTGCTGGACTTTTTGGAGCCTGTCCTCCTCCACCAAGGCCATGGGTGCTGGGCGCTCCTTCAGAGCTTCATGTAGTTCAGCTGCTTCTTCCCTATAACAACAAGTAGCAAGGCATTGGCTTCATCTGTCAACTGGGCTCTGTTAGATTGATTATGCATAAATCACAGAGCATTTATTGTAAATCAAATGGAAAATGCACAGAATTTTTCCTTCCAAGGTGAACATGCTGGGCACATCACAGATGCTCCTTGGTTGTTAGTCAACAATAGAGACAATCAGTTGAAGACATAGAAACTCCAGCAGGAGGCATTTGATAAAGACACCTTCTCACTCAAGGTCAATGCCATCACTATCAAAATATTTTTAGAGCTCAAACACTGTAGGGGAACAAAGAGAAGTGGAATTGGAGAGGAAAAATCCCCTTAATCCAGAGAAGCTCAGTGTGTAGTGAAGAATGAATCCCACTCAAAAATAAGATTTTGTTTTGCCCTCCACTATTGGAAAATTGGCCCCTGAAATGTCCTACCTGCCAGAAGTATATGTGTTTGCTTGGGATTTGGTCACTAGAGAATACATGCTTAGCAACTCTAACCAAAAAATCCTAAATTTCACTACAAGAGAGTTTGAAACTCTTTGAGCACCAAACATGATGTCACAAGTGGAAAGTTATATTCCCGATTTCAGTGGACAAAGCAAAGTCAAAACATAGGCCCACTACACAGATTGCATAGAATTACCCTCACAGTGTATGGATAAGGCATAAAGGAACATAAGTGAATGAATTTCATGTTCAGAATTGAGTCTAATCCCCAAGATAGCTCATGATGTATCATTGAATATATTTCAAAACAGAGAAAAGTTCATATTCTAAAATGCTTCTGTTCTAAAGTATTTCTCATAAAGGATGCTCTATGTGAACAATGCAGTGTATCATGGGACCTTGGGATCATTTTTGACCTCTAGAGGAAGTGAAATTAAAGGCACTGACCTCTAGGAAAGGGGTCCAACAAAAGGCCTTGAGGATTGGGCTGATCAAAACTGTTTCCTTCACCAAAATTCAGTTAGGCCCTTCTGAACCTTTTCCTAGCCAGGCATTGACCCTGGCCTGCCAGGTCTATTCTGTGCCTGCTGAGCCTGTATCACCCACACTTAGCAAGAGTCCTACCAAATCACAGAAATGAGATTCTTGAAACTTCATATCTGATCATGTTCCCATTCTGAACCTTTAGTGTTTAGTCCTAGAACTTCTTTTAGGAAGCATCTGGCTAAAGCAGCATCTAAGAACCCCTATTCTTGCTGTTGCTGTTTGAACTGGCTCTCTAGTGCTCCTCACTCTGGTTGTTGGCTCTAGATTCCCAGGTATCAACTGTACCCAGTGTTGTCCCTTATCTCTTGCCTCTGGTGCAATGGCCCTGAATAAAGTTTCCTTGGCTGTATTCACATGCGTCACAGTTAAGTGTTTCTTCCACAGGTTCAGATTCCCTGGTTGGCAGTCATCCATGTGACCTATCGTACTTTGAGTACAGAACATCTTGTGTCATGTGGACCATGAGAGAGTCATGCTTGAAACTCTTCCAGACTCTGTCCTGTGTGTCCCACCTCTGGGAGATTTTCACTTCTGTCCATTCTCTGTCATCAACTGGCGCTGTGTCATAATTGCCTTTGGCGAATTCTAGTGAGTTATCAGATTTATGGCTGTATTTGGGAGGTCCCCAGGTTTTTAATTGGTGTCAAGTAAAAGGATGACTGGGGGATGGGGCTGATTAACATGAGGAACTTAATATTTAAAAAGCTCCTCAGAGCAAGAAGGCACTGTATGTGTTACTTGCTCCATCCACAGCTCTTCAACCACTCCTAGTGTACTTTGTCCTTCCCAGTGGAAGATCATTAGGTCTAGCTGCAATGCTGGTTGAGCGGGAAGCAGAAGGCCTGGCTTCTCCTTGCTTCTCTGCCCATCTTATTGACACCCACCCACCTGCTGTCATCTCAATTTTCACAGTCAGTATCATGACACCTTAGTTGGTGACAGCTTCACATGTGTGTAGCCACAGGAACGAGCAAAGACCCAAGAGAATCTGAGACCCATCTATATGAATCACTAACTCATAAAAGACCTGAATTTGGACAGGATACTACAGAAAGTATTTTCCTCCTGAGAGACGGGCCTGATGTCCCCCAAGAGGTACTTTTTTAGTTATCTTCCCCCAAACACCTTGTGCTAACTGGGCTGCATCAGGTGCCTGACAGCTGCTCTGCAGATAGTTGTTTTGGCTACAGCAAGCTTCATTCTGGGACTTAAGCCAGGAGACCCCACCCTGAAGCCTGTCTGGATGACTCTGTCCTTCAGCTTTTCATGGTGATCTTGCTTCTGCACAATGCTCCTCATTCAGATCCATGAGGGCCCCTTCCCTCCTCAAAGCCCAAAAGTGAATTTAACACTGCACAGGCATGAGCCCAACTCTTCCTATACGAGTAAACTCTTCATACCCATACTGGGTTCAGTCTGTGTGCTGTTGCCCCTCACAGTAAGTCCTAACAGCACCTTTCTCAGGGCATTTTCTTTCTCATTTGTGATCTTTTTCTCAAGTGCAGCATTCTGAGTGGGTGCACAGGAGCTGGTAACTATGAAGGCCCCTGGTGTCGCATGCAGCCAGGAACTAGAGCTGTAGCCCTGAAGGGATCTGAACAGTTTGAGATCTGCCTGTAGCTACTGGCCTGAGCAATGAGAAGGGCTGCTGATTTGAATGGCAGTGGCTGCTGGCATTCAAAACTCAGGGCTGTTACTATTATAAGACCTACATTTCACCAATTCATGCCAAATAACTCTAAGCTGATTGGTGACACTGGAAGGGCACGTGGGGATGGTCTACTGCAGCCCTAATGAGGAAGGTAGATAATGGTAACAATGAACAGTGATGGAAAAGCCTGTAAAGTACTAGCCCAGGTGTGATTTCCATCTTCCAAGTAAGTCTTCCCTCTCTTCCATGTCTAAAGAAGACATGCAACTAAGAATCTATGCCAGAGGTGAAATTTTGAGTTTTATCAGACTCCTGAATTACACAAAATAAGCAGTAGACCATTCTAACTCACCAAGCTGTCGCTGGCCATTCTGCCTTCCTGTTGATCAGGGGCTACTTTAGATAGCATAGAGGAGAGTTTCAATGGCAGTAGAGAACTCCCCAAAACCCAGGCAGGATGTACAGCCCTCTATGCCCATCAGTGATGGGGCACAGCATAATGGAAGGAAATGCCCCCTCCCCCACTCATGTGTCTTCTGTTGTGTCACAACCTCTCTGCCCTTTGAACCATCAGAACCTGCCTTTCCTCAATATGGTTCCAGTACTGTGGGTCCAGCATTCTTACTACTGCTCCATTCCACCTTCTCTTTGGCTCCATTCTGAGTCCTGGCTCTGAATTTGGTAGGGCCTTTGGGAAGGGTGTTTTTGTTTTGTTCTCCTCTGCATCATATCTTGCTCCTAAGCCTTCATCTCAGTCCCATCTCATTGGAGGTCTGGTTCGGTTGAGTCGATGATAGTGTGTTCCAAGACATGAAACCAGAGCCCTGGAACTGGCAGAGATCACAAGGGTCCCATTCATCCCTGTCTACTGCTCCTCCTACCATTTTACCTCCTGGATCATAGCAGGATTCTACTGACCCTGTATAGTTCATCAGATTGGAGATAAGTGGGTCAAAGCAGATTATTCCCCTGGAATATATATCTAGATTTTCAGAATAGCCCCAAAGTAAGTCCATCTTGGCTTCTAACTTGAAGGAAAGGATGCTTGGCTCTGGTGTCTCCTCACCTGAATTTCTAAAAAGTTAAGGTTTGTGGAGCACCTAGTGTGTGCCAGTCATATACTAAGCACTTGCCATGTATTATCTTATTTTCCTTACAATAAAGAAACAAAGGCAGAGCATGGTGAAGTAACTTCAAAGATCACATCACTAGTAGAGAGCAGAAAGCATCCTGTCCACCATAAGT